TCCACAGACATTTCATTAGCAGTATCCAGCACTTTCTGATTTAACAGGTGACATAACCACCTCCCTCCCCTAAAAATGGTACTTTTAACTGAAGTCCGTTTCTGCTGTGCAAAATCGAGGCTTTAAAGGAAAGTTACATTTTGTAAAAACACTCTTCCTAGTAACTCTTCCTCCCTTAACACCATGCAGCTTCCCAAGATGCCGGTCAGTCTTGGGGAGAGTGGCAAGAAATTTGGTAGTTTTTGTTAGTAACTGAATAAACTTCCTCCCAGGTCTGCACAGGATAATGAGGTACCAGACTGGAACTGGAAACAGCAGGGATTTAATTTCTCTTAATGAATACTTAAATATTACTATAACCTTAACCCCAAACCTTACGCCTTGTACACTTTAGCAAAAATACAAAGCTATATAGCCCTCCCTACTTTGCATTTTAGAGAAGTCTCTCCCTGGGGAAATAGTCATGTTTTCCCTTTTATCTTTGGAGTGTTGGATTATTGAAATTGCAGGAGAGATACTCTAGTAACAGGTAGCCATGCTGATCCAGGGAAGAGAATTCCAAGTTAATATACTGAGTTTCAGCTCTCCATGAAGGGTATCAGCATTCATTGGCACTGAACAAACTTACCTGCAGAACCGCCTGCTTCAGCCTCCGTTCTTATGGGGCAACATCCCTGCAGTTGAATTACGAAAGGGACATCTTTGCCATATGAAGTGGGATAGATTGAGATGCAGAAATATTAATGGTGTCACTAAGATACCCTGATCCAAGCCTCCCACCACGTGTTCCAATTAAAAATTTAAATCCCACTGAAATTGGTGCAGTTTAAGCACCTGCTCACGACTGCCGACGAGGGAAGGACTGAGCTTGGGGAGGCACTCCAGTGACCACGCAAGTTCTTATTTTGATTAAAGCTTTGGAGATTCAGCAATTCAGACATCAGAGAAACTCCATCAAAACAAACCGACCAAACCCAGAGCAGACAAAAGTGACAACTTGAAACAACCCCCTTCCCTGTCTGCTGGTCAAGTGTCTCAAAAGCCTGGCATGGCCCTGTTACACCACCAGTGCCTTCCAGCAGATACTGCCAGAAAGAGCCCTTGCTCCAGTGAGAAATCTGTTAAACTTCTCCTATATACTGTCTTGTAGGGCTGTAATTCACAGGACTATTTTGCCCCAGAAAAGGGGTAATTCACTTTCACAGAGCTGACCAAAGAGATCACTTGGAGCTGCTGCTGTTGCTGAGGGCTTTTTCAGGTTGGAAAGTATGTGATCACACCTGGAAACCTCCTATTAGCGCATATTGAATCTGCAATTCATCTGCCCTCATTTTCAGAGATGCTGAACACTCACAATACACGTTGTTACCTGGAAGTGCTCAGCACCTCCAGAGAAAAAAAAGTCAACCATTCCCAAAAGCTTGATGTAGCCGAGGACCTAACATTTCCAATGATTAGTAGAAAGGACAAACAATGCTCCATGAAGTGTTTCGAATTGTGTACTGGCCAACGTAACTGATTAGGCATCAACAGTTCACACAAGAAACAATTAAGACTTGCCACAAAAATCTGCCAGATGTGACCTTTCGAAGTACAAGTGAGGAAAGGTTAACGACATTCCTAAGAACTGGAGCTCAAGTTCTGGCAGAATTGCTGCCAGGATGGCAACACTGTAAGACAGGGATACCGATGACTCTCCAAAGCTCAGTGGTTCTGCACTGCCGTGCAGATACCAGGGCACACAAGTAAGGGAGTCCAACAGAGGAGACTGGCACTGGAAAAGAAGCAAGTATAGTTCCCATGGCTATTATCAGATGCTACACAGCAGAAGAGGAATCTCTGACAGGCGTTGCCAACTCAACAGGCTTAATTATCTTCTCTCCCTGAGCTTAAAATACATAAGCACAAACTCTAGCTGTGTCTCCCCTTCCACTTCCCATCAGTTCTAATGTCCAAGTCAGCCACTGAAATGCTACAGACGAATGAGTTCAAAGTTTTATATAGGCTAATGTTTCACCAGCCTTCAATTCCTGGACACGCTCAGGAAGAATCAGTCAGACCAGAACTGGAGAGGTGGGAGACAGGTAAAGATTACAGAACAAGATTTTATTGCATGACAGCTGTAGTTTCATGCAGTTCATGCTGTAATTTATTCAAAACCCGGCTCTCTTGCAGAATATTTTTGAATAAAGCAAAAAAAGTCACTCGACTTTGTTGAAAGATAAAACCCATAAAGAACAATATAACAAGTCAAGTTTTAATAGATTTATAAAATTCATATATACAAAACAGTAAACTAAGTCACCAAAGCTATAAAATACACTTTTTACACATCACAATATAATTTTATCTAGTACACAGTTTTCATAAATTGAAACTATTACAGCAAGTAGCTGCTTCTATCGTGGATGCTGTTTTGGTGCTAGAAAGACGCTTATGTGAGCAGTCTGGAACTGTGCTTTTACTTTATGCATTTTTCACCTTCTTTTAGTTTGCCACTGTTTTTAAAGTACTTTCCTGTGAATTATTAGAAAATTAAGGCTAAACTCAGGCCTTTCTTGCCCAATGCAGTGAACTGGTTTAAAAAAAGAATGATATTGCATAGTATGTGTGTTACAATGCATAGGCACCAGAGAGCAAGTAAATTGCAGAATAAAAGGTAACATTAATTGGGTTCCTAGCTACATGATTGTGTCACGAGATAACTTTGTGTTTTGTCAGTTTGCTTTCATACATATTGATTCCATAAACAAGACAACTCATCACAAGAGCAATAAATACTAGCCATTTTGTTAAGTGGAGTCTCCAGAAATACTGTTTAACATGTATCATCAATTCAAGCTCATTACACATGCCAGATAACGAAACCCGTTCACTGGAAAAACGCTCATTATCCTAAAGACAGTTAATGGCTTCAATGCAAATGGGAGTTTGAACACGTTTTCAAACCTAAGCCCACCAAGCATGCTTTCCAAGTCTTGTGAACTACCAAAAGATCATTTCTCCTCCACACCCCCCTTCTCCCTGCTATCTTCTCTCAGCTTTTGTGTCCAACCACCTGCACACAAGCTCAGAACAAGAGATTGACGGGAAGTATTAGCAGAGAAGCAGTGCTATTCCAAATCTATACTTCCCTTGTAAGATGCTCTTTCTCGGGTCCTACTTGTCCAAAAATTTTGCTCTCCATCGGTATTAGTTTTTATTCAAATAATGGAAACAGTCTGTTAATCTAGCCATTCCCCTGAAATACTCACACTCCGGTATCTTGAAGAAAGTTTAAGTAGCTGTTAGAAAGGAGTAAGATGCACAGACAGTGGTCTGGCCAGAGATCTGCATACCGTGTTCTGGTAGGAATTGAGTTTTAGCCCTCAGTTATGAACAGATGGAGAGAGATTTACAATGGAAGGGTGTGCAGCTGCAGCAGGGCCAGCCTTGCCAGCCCGCTGCTGTTAATTCACAGCCAATAGCTCCCTGGAGTCACTCAAAGCTTTTGGGGTCAATGCAGATAGCATTTCACTTCAATACAGTCAGTCTTCAAGCACCATCAGCTTTTGGGATCTGTTAGAAAATAGCTCCCCTCTCTTGCTCCCTTCCAACATACTTTGGCTTTTTTACCAGAATGCCCACCTTGGAAGTCAGTGCTGCTCTTTTTTTCTCTCCGACTGTGAATATTTTCACATCGGACAGAAGATACGACCTTCGGACATATGCCAAGAGCTAGGTTGTGGATACAGTTCATCAAGCCAGGCACAAAACCACTAGCACTGACAATCTAGTACCTCCATACTCCCCACACCCAATAAGAAAACAAGCATATCGACACATAGACAAACTTCAACACTGCTTTCCAAATGCCATTAGAAAGATAAAAACGTCAAGAATCAAGCAAAACTGTCCAACCATGAAGATGAGCAAAGAGATAGCATCACCTAGTTAGGAGAGCAGCAGTTTCAGCTCCAAATATGCTGGCTTTACTCATTTCCATCTATGTAAAAAAAGATTAGCGTTGAAACAAAGAAGTGCCCACTTCACAGCACAAAGCAGAGATCACCCCAGCTAATCACAAAACAGGTAATATTAAAAAGCACTAGGTCTTGTATTGTCTTGCCAATTACTTCCTCACTAGGCTAGACAGTCCTCATCTAGAAGTGTGTGGAGTCAGTATTAACTCAGCCCAAGTCTGGCCCAGATCGTGCCAGTCTTCCTGTCCCATAATGGATGCTCCCTAGAAATCTGTTAAAAGCCCATTTACAAAAGTAGGCACAGATATTTTATGGTTGCTACTGAAACACCCTACCCACCACTTCCCCTGTTACAGAATTAATAGAGAGTGCACTGAGGTAAAGAGTTGGCAGTGCTATATTGGAACCCCTGACTATACCATGTGATTTTATACTAGAAAAGTGATATAAAAAAGAGGCTACTACTAAACTTACAGGAATCAATATAGTTCTCATCATGAGAGATCAGTGTTCGGCTTACATGACAAGCTGCAGTGTATGGAGGCGTTATTGCATATCGTGTCTCAAGCTGGCATGCATCGAATTGTCTATCAACCCGGTATGTACTCCTGAAAATTTGATGACACAAGCAAAGCTAAGTCAGGTGTCAAAACTCACTACTTGAAAATCAGAGGGGCTTTTTACAGAAATCTTGTAGTTCCATGCAGCAGAAAGTTTTTTTTTTTTTTCCCCAGGACAACGAAAGAGGTACATCCATAGAAAAGACTCCAAAACATGAAGTTAATATCCACACAGACAGCCATCTAAAGGCAGCAAAGGGATTGTTTTCTAAAATGATATTCTGTGGAAGGTAGTTGTCTGTCACTAAAGAAAGCTGCTCGTTTCTTCAGTGGTTCCATGTCTATTCTTTTAATTTCTTTAATTCTACAATTCTTTGCAGATTACAGTAATCTAATCAGGCCGGGGGGGACATGGGGATGGGGGGACAACACACAGACAGGATGGGACACACTTTTCAAATGCACCGCACCTATGGGGACATGGGGATGGGGGGACAACACACAGACAGGATGGGACACACTTTTCAAATGCACCATTTTTCATACCAAAAACTACTGTAGCTATCCTAGTGGAATTACAGTTTTGTCTGCAGTGCCACATACAGATGAGCTCTTCCTACTCCATTTCACTACAGTTTTCTTGCTGTTAGTTTCTCCACTCTGTCTGCTTGGCTGGGGTTCAGGCTTTAGTCAGCTCAGAAAGCCTATAAACGGTCATCTTCAGGATCTTCTTCATGCTTGTAACATGCCTAGTTCTAGGTTTTACACAGCAGTATTTTAAAAAAACTGAATATATTAAGTCAAATATTTTATTTACTATGGCAGCATAGATTAAGATCAATTCATTGTATCAAACTGGAAGCATCTTTGAGTTGTAGTGTAAAGTTGAGTGGCCAGTAATTTCCATTCCATAATCAATACTAATTCATTTTCAACATTAAGAACTATTTAATTCTATCAAAGTGACAACTGCCTATTAAATACGTCACTTACAGAAAACTGTTCTTCCTTTTTAATTCCAATTCACCACGTCACCTCATAATGCCATCTAAGAACTGTTCAGAGGATGACAGCACTGCAATCTGAAGGAATGGTACTGACTGACACACTATATTAGCTTAAAGCCTGATTTGAGGACAACAAATACAAAGTAGTGTTTGATAAATGACTCCCATTTACTTCGTTTTTCTACTTAAACTGCAGATTACGTAAGTGTCTCCTGCAAGCACATGCTGCAAGCACTTCCTCTCTTTGTCCTTGCGAAAGACAACCCGTTTGCAACACCCCATCACTGGTCACTGACCTGCGGGTGTCAGAGGAGGGACAGCAAAAGGCTGCTTGCCTTTTTTTTTTTTTAAGATGTAGTTGTTCAAGGTCTCCATCTGATTATCATCCTGCCTGTGACCCATTTCCTGACTAGCCAAATGAACAATAAGCCTATAAAGTTAACAAAAAAAGATGTTATCTCCAGCTGTGTTTACCTGCAAATTTCTTCAGGATGTCACTTAAAATAAAGTTTTATTTATTTCTTGTGAAAGGACTAAGCAACCGACCAAGCCTGTCCCGAGATGTTTGTACAACCTAACCTACCTAAGTTCTGCTTTAGTAACTAACTGATTTACCATAACATGATTTTCTGGCTTTATTATACTACAACTTACCTTGAAAAAAAACAAACACAAAACCCCACAGTTGTGGCAAGAAGTGGAGTGTATTTTGCAGAGAAAGCTGCCACTTAAAAAAAAAAAAGTCCTTTTTACTCATGGGCCAGATCCTTTGCAAACTTGAGAAATGCTTGACTTTTGCAAGAAGTTTCCTGATCTTGGCTTCCTGGTGCGAACCATCACTATCAAAGTTTGACAGAACACAGAACCTACAGAGCCAAACTACTGATTTTCATCTGCAGTCTGCAGCGTCACGCTTAGGCCCATTTTATCAATAAATAGAAGAAAGGCAATAATGGGCCTGAGGTGATCAAACCGGTTCCCTAAAACTCTGATTTAGTGTGCAAAACTGCAAAATCATACAAAAAAAATGCTTGAGAGCTCAATATGAGATATCTCATACTGTTTCTTTTCCAGGTGCAGATTAAGTTACTTAAAATATAAGTTGCATTATTAGCTCTGTTCAGAATTTTAAATCCATAAGGTGACTAAGGATACGAAACCATGGGTGAGCATGAAGAGAAAAACAGAACAGGAAATTCCATGCTATGCCTCCCAGGTAGAACTACAGTAGATTCAGACATAAAACTGAGGTAATTCTTGAGAAAAAATACAGTTGAAAGGGAATGTTTAACTCATTTGAGAAAACAAACATAATATTAACCCATCTAGAAAATTTAGTGAAAGAATAAAGTTCACAGCAAACTAGGAAATAAAGTCAAGTCAACTTAGAAGTCAGGTCAGCCCATAACCGCCGCCTCTTTCCCAGTGTCCTGTGTGAAGTGGAAACCACTACCAAGAACTCCAAGAATTTTTGAAAACTTTGAAAACAGTCTTAGTCTTCAGCCAAACAAATGGGCTAGCTTAGAGAAATGAACCTTATACTATGAGTAAACTTGCTTGCATCACTCTGTGTTGAAACATTTACCTTTTCAAATGTAATAATCTTAAGAGTTTCCCCCCATCTGAATATTAGAGTCACGTAACATTTTTCCCCTTCAAGGTTAAAAATGAATAAATATTTAAAAGACAGAGTTGGTCCTGGCAAAAATAAGACTTGTTACAAGGAAGCTAATTCCTGTTTAAGTTTGCTCAAATTTAAGCTAGATTTTCCCATCTGCAACTTTTCACTTGCTTCTCACCTCGATACTGTGCATGTTACATAGCACTGAAATAGCCATATCTTTTCCACTCTGAAGCCTGCACAAAGAAAGCCAAAAGACTGCTACATTAGGAAACTACACAAAAATACCGATATGAACATCTGCAAGCTTCAGAGGGGAAGAAAGATTCCAGATTTTATCCAAATTAACATGAAAGGACAACGGAGCAGGCCTTTTTTTGACCACATTTCCCACGGGATTACCAGCTGAAGTAAGATGTTGCTTGTTTTGAGATGCCATTACAGGCTCAAAGGGGATAAGAACTCCAGGGAATCTGCTGACTTTTTACGGGTACAAACAGCCCTTGAGGTTTTATTCTTGGATAAAAACTATGACAAAAATTGCACAGTAAACTATGTTTGAAAATTACCTAAAGTATAGCACTACAATGTTGATATAAAAGGCAGATCTTCAGTTTGTCCATGTACCCACTGTAGTGGAAAAGATCCGATATGTCTGTACACAAAAAAGGCACCTGACAGTTAGTTACACAGATCGAGAGCGCTAGGAAATTAACAGTTCACATCAACATTATTCATAGCCTCTTGCAATTTTACACACAAACCACTGCCTAAAACAGGCAACTCCAAACTTGACTGTACTCAGAATTACATGTGCCTTACTGTAGGTTAAAGATCCCATTAAGACACAGATTAAAGGCTAATTTTACAGCAAGGTCTTGCTGTCCAAATACATCAGTGCAGCTGTAAAACTGGGATCTCTATGGTGTTCAGTCTTCCTATAAGGTCAGCTGTTGGGAACTAATCAAGCAGCTGCTGTACTACCAAAACCTTTGCTTAAGAGTTTAATCAGCTTTCAAACTTTTGAATACAGATAAAGCCCTGTCACGCGAGATACTGAACCTTCACAAATACTGCCAACTGCGGGTGTGAGAACAGTGCTGAATTTCCATGAAATACGTCTCACTCGAGCACCCACTGTGCAGATACATGGTCAGGTGCTCTAGCACAGGCTGCTTCACCAAGGAAATCAGTTTTCCCATGATGTAATAACCTTCACACATAGTGCAAAATAAACCCTTCTCTGTATCAGCGAGGCCTTAACTTCCCATCTGATTTACTCCAACACTGGTTTCCTTATACAGTTTTAGACTTTTGCCTCAGGAGACTCACGCAAAACCTTCAGACAAGAGCTGTGCATCCACCTTGATAAGTGGATTCCAGACCCTTGGCAAAGCTGAACACGCACACAAGATCTGGTTATATTCCTAAGGGTGAAGAACAGAACTTCCATTAACGTTCTCCAATACAGCTGCCAATCTCATTACATTTAGAATTGTTTGATCGATTCAGCACCTCCAAACTACAAAGAAAAGGCAGTTTGTACAACTAGTGTCTCTGAAAAATGAGCATATTCATTTAAACCAACGTGTCTTCCATACATGGTTTGTCAGAGATTTCTTTTTTCTAAGAAGGCAGAAGGTGGTTGTGTTATTCAGCGTTCCAAACTAGATACAGAACCTACAACGGCCATGTTTCAGTAGTGTTTCTAGTCCAAATGATTCAGTAGCTAACATCAACATTTGACTCCTTCGGCCTATAGCTCCTCTGTTTGGACTGGCTAGTTTACAGCATTCCTGAGCCAAGTAATTAGCATGGGTCCTACACCACATGCAAGGGCCATAAAGAAAGGATAAAAACTTTGATCTAACCCTCCGGCAAATTTTAACAGAACATTGGCTGCTCTCCTTCACTGCAACATAATATCCTTCAGATTCTCTTGAAGGATCGTGTCCTTCACGGCATGAAACACAAAGCGGATGTTTTCAGTGTCTATGGCAGTGGTGAAGTGATGGAAGAGCGGCTTACTACGGTTTCTCCTCTTTCTGTCAAAGCACTGCACCAGGTAGCGTTGAACATCTTCTAGCCTGTGAGGGTCGCCTTTGAAGTCCGAGAAATACTTCTTAATGCTGACAGTCTTTACCTTCTCTACAAGAAGATCCATCTTGTTGAGGAATAGGATAATAGAAACATTGAAGAAAAGCTTGTTATTGACTATTGTCTCAAAGATATTCATGGACTCCACAAGTCTATTTGTGCGCCTGTCTTCCATGAGAACCTGATCGTATTCACTGGAGGAGACCATAAACAAAATTGAAGTTATTCCATCAAAGCACTGGAACCACTTTTGACGCTGAGATCTCTGTCCACCTACATCCACCATCTTGAAAGGTATTTTTTTAATGATGAAATCATGCTCTACTATCCCCTTGGTGGCTTTTCTAGCCAGCAAAATATCTTGCTTGCTGGGGAAATAATTCTGTAAAAGAAAGGAGAAAAGTGTCAAAAAAGTCCTTCAAAAATGCTGGCTAAAGCCAGAGTATTGATGTGGGGGGGAATCAACAAGAGCCATGGTTTTTTTAGTTATCAAGTGAAGAATGAATGCTCAACTTTAAAATAATGGACTGTTGACCATTTATCTCAACATATTAGTAAACAGCTACAGAAGATCCTGAGACATACGAGAATAAAAATATAGGACCAATTCACTCGTTCACATTTTTATTCTCCAAGCCTCCCATTTTCAGGCTGAAGTCTATTTTATCATTATGAAATTCTTTGCCACAGTGTTACTGCCATTTAGGTAGTGTTCAGTAAAGCAGATCTCCAAATCATGACTGAAAGGATTTTTTTTGATATCTAGTTTTTCCACAGTTCATTACTCTTACAAAGGACATCTTGCAAGCTTTAGTGGAAATGCTTCTTCCATGTTCACCGTCCATGACCAGCGAGTACAGCAACATGTTCTACCACAGGTTGTAGCCCAGCCCACCACTGTAGAGAGACCTGTTCTTCAGAAGCTTATCACTGTCACTGTTTAGGAAAATCATCTCCCTTCTTTCTATTCCAAGTCTCCTGGCAGATGTTTTCATTACCGATTTTGAATCCTACAAGTGCCAGTAATTTTTTTTTATTTGGTAATTTTTCATTCTGCTACCTTAAGTAGCACCAGCCATCAGATGATCGTGAAAAGCGAATGAGATTCAGAGACTGCATAGAAGGACTGATAAAAGAAAATATGTGCATAAATAAAGCTTCCATAAACAGTATTTATTGTCTGTCAAAAAATATTAAGCAAATACTAAGCTTCAGTTTCATAAGGTTGGAATTTACTATTTCTAGAGTAAAGAACTTTGAAGTTATTTAATGCATTAGTATTTTAAAAAAACCCAAACCAACCTAAAGTATTAATCATAGCACACCCAGGCTTCCGTTATCTCTTTGAGCTCTTTTGGTTCAGAAAGAGAAGGTATGTCTTACCAGCTGACCGATCCTATCCAGGTTATCCAGGAAGTATTTCACCGATTCACCCTGTGGAAAAGGAAAGAGATGGGAACTAAGCTTGTTTCTAGGATAGCAAATCCAACTGTGTTTTCACTTTCCAGCATGCGCTGAGGTCTAACATAGCAATATCACATGTGGAAGCTTGGACAACATCCTGATATACTTAAGGCGCTAGAACAATAGAAGTACTGCATAGCTTAATTCACATAAACTGCTGATAATGAGTGGAGCTGCCATAATACACTACCAACATGTAGGTAAGGTAGTATTTCTTCAAAAGCAATTCTCTATTAGTTCTAGAAAAATCAAAGTTGAGTAGATAGCTGAATAAATGCTCAAAGCTATCTAGTAAATCTTTACAATGAAAAGGAAGCATTATTAAAGTCAGTCCTTTGCTTTGGCTTAAAGAATTAAGTTTTTTGCTCTTGTATGATGAATGCAGTTAATTGACACTGGGTGGGAGTAAAAGTGAAACACATTTATTAAAAGCAAATGTATTTTGTTTAAAAATCGTAACAGGGAACAAAAACATATCCTAGACTGTTTGGCATATCTTTAGAAAAGTGAAAGATTTAAGTCGCCTACAATTTGTGATAATTTAAGCTAGACTTGCTTGTCAAAAAAAAAAAAGGAACATTCTGAAGGACTTTCTCTTCTGCAGAGTTTCCCTTTTCGGCTCAAGGGTTTTAATAATGGATTTGCTGATCTTGCACAAAATCCTTTAGCAGTTACATTGAGAAGAATATAGGCAATGTTTACAAAGAAAATTTATTCTTGTGTGAAAACGCATAAGAGGTTTTGCGTTTTGTGGTCTATTTTTTTTTAAACAAGCTTGCTCAGGTATCACACTCAAATCAAGTGCCACTTCGCATTAGTGGATACAAGAAGCCCTACACATACTTTTTAGAAGTAATAAAATTGCTTCCATATAGATGGAGACTTTACTTCTGGAGTGAAACTATCTTTGGCAGAAGCCCATTCTCCTTCAAACACTTCCCTTTCATTTCTTCAGATGAAGATGATCTGTTCAGTAAGAAAGCATTCTTCATTAGGACATGTGTCTTGCATTTTTAGCCATATCATAAGAACGATAAAATGGATGGTCCTGCTGCCTTTTAATAATTTTAGGCAGTGAAACACATTATATCTATCTATATCTCTCTCTCACAGATCAGGGCCGTGTCAGTAATGACCAGACTGACAGTAGGTGCCCTCACCAAGTCACTAATTCAGTACGAGAACATTCTCAAAGTATCATCTCAGATTCCAACAGCAATAAAAATTCTTAAACCATGCATCCTCCTCTACACCATAGGCTTGAGACAGCAGAATAAAATTATTCCCCTTCCTCCAGTACAACTGTAAACAGATGCCACCACAACAGTTCATTTTGAAGAATGAGACTGGAGACCAGAGGATTCAGTGTACTGCACAACTACAACACTCAAATCAAGTGCCACTTCGCATTAGTGGATACAAGAAGCCCTACACATACTTTTTAGAAGTAATAAAATTGCTTCCATATAGATGGAGACTTTACTTCTGGAGTGAAACTATCTTTGGCAGAAGCCCATTCTCCTTCAAACACTTCCCTTTCATTTCTTCAGATGAAGATGATCTGTTCAGTAAGAAAGCATTCTTCATTGTTTAGGACATGTGTCTTGCAGTTGTAGCCATATCATAAGAACGATAAAATGGAAAATCCTGCTGCCTTTTAATAATTTTAGGCAGTGAAACACATTATATCTATCTATATCTCTCTCTCACAGATCAGGGCCGTGTCAGTAATGACCAGACTGACAGTAGGTGCCCTCACCAAGTCACTAATTCAGTACGAGAACATTCTCAAAGTATCATCTCAGATTCCAACAGCAATAAAAATTCTTAAACCATGCATCCTCCTCTACACCATAGGCTTGAGACAGCAGAATAAAATTATTCCCCTTCCTCCAGTACAACTGTAAACAGATGCCACCACAACAGTTCATTTTGAAGAATGAGACTGGAGACCAGAGGATTCAGTGTACTGCACAACTACATAACTTTAAGCATAAGGCATAGACAGAAAGGACCTGTAACTTCTTATTTCCTAACATTTAAAACTGGAAATATCTTTTCATAAAGAAGAGAGAACATGCATACTTGCAAAAAGCTACCATGTATCACAAAAGATTTACAGTGGATCACTAGCAGAAAAGATGACTTTTTTGCGGGCAAGTTTCCGAAGAATAATTGCTCTAAAAGCTTCCTTACAATCATGAATTTTCATAAGGTGAAAGTAATTTCCTGTATTTTCTGGCACCCGGTTGGATCAGAAGAGATATCACAGACCGCATGAATAAGAGGAAAGGTCTTCCTGTACAGCATTAGTCATATTTAGGAGATGGGAGAGCCCAAAAAGAAAAGGTCACTGAAGCTATAAAGAAACCCAAAACCGTTCTCTATCTATTGTGCTTTGTCCTACTCAATGCCTTTAGATGTGCAACAAGACTGCAAATGGGCCATCTCTGATACAACTTGTTCCTGTTTTCTACCCCGTTGCTTTAAGAGTCCTCGCCTTCTCCATATACCCTCCCACGCTGAGAGCAGGAAACAGCTGTATGCATGTAAACTGCTGGGACACACAAGCAAGTTTACCTGATTTACAGCTTTTGCCTCCCCTATTTCCTGCCCCACGCAATCAGTTTAACATTTTGCACATTTACAAGAAGGTAAGAAAATAATCTGATTAATAAAAAAAATACATGTTCATTTCTGCAGTGATTTAAGGAAAACTAGACTTCTCTAGTTTCTTATACAGCTCTTTGTAACATTGCAGTTAAGCCAAATAATTCATTCTGGAAAATTTTAAGCAGTAATTGCAGAACATCTGGATAGCCGAGGAACCAAGTCAGGTTGCTGGAACAGGTGTGAACACCATATGCATGGTCTGACAGATCTGAAGATGTCTGAATATTCTCTTCTAGCACAGAATTCAAAGACATCCAGTACTTAAGTCAAAATATCTGTTGCCAGTCAAAACAACAAATCCCTGACAAGCTCCAGAAGTTTTGAAGTTAAGAAAAAGCTCAAAACATTAAAGCACACAAACCTGGAGAAAAAAACCCACCCAAACCACAAAAAACCCACCCCAAACCCTCAAAACCCCCTACTTTGAAGTTGATTCCCTGATTAAGTCCTGTGTTATGGCCTCTGGAAGTGTGGATTCAATTCCTGCTCTAAAGACTTCTTGAGCAACCTTGCTCTACATCTTAATCTGATTCATAGAAAAGTTGGTTGCTTCTGGGAAGCGTGTGGGGTATTTCAGTTCATCGAGCAGGCAGCACAGAACAACTGCAGGCAGCACCAACCAACTTGATGAATAACTTGTAATTTAATTAAATGAAGAAAATATGGAAACTCCAGGTGTTATGACTGTTTTGTATTAGTATTTTTAATCAGAACAATTGTATTAACAGAACATTCATTTAGCTTTTAATTTTTTCCTTGTCATCCAGGGGAAATAGATAGCAATATAATTAGATCTAGAAGTTAAGTTTATTTTGCTTTCTATCAAGCTGCACCTGAATGCAATTTTGAATTCCGTCAATAAATTATTATTTATGCAAAGCCATCTCATGCTTTGGGTATCACACACACACAAATGTACTTACACGTGTGTGTGTGTGTATATATATGTAGGTATATTAAAAATACACACACAGAAAGACTCCATGAATTGTTCATCAAGGTAGCTTTTCCATTCAAGGCAAATTAGTATCAAAATCAAAAAGTATCAGCTGCCCCTCTCATGTTGAACTATTTTTTTCTCTTGAAGACACTGACCATAAACAAGCTGTTTCGGCTTTTTCAGTGCAAATTCTTAGGCTTTCTCTAAAGTCATCTAGCCATTCAACTACATTCAAAAGCTGGCTTAGCACTTCAAATGCTCTCCTTTTCCACATCTTAGCCAGTTATTTCTGGTTCACTAGCATGACGTCCTACAGAAGCGGCAGCTAATATTTGCAGTTCTGTCATCAGATACTAAAAATATCTTTACGCACATTGACAACTTCAATCTTACTATTTTAATGGTTCTAGTGAAAAAAATTAAGTAGTCTTCTGAACATTGCAATCTATTTTGAACTATGCTTGCAAGCAGCAAAATAGAAATGGAAGCCAAAGCTATTTATACTAATTATAACATATTTAAATACCTAATCACCTCATGGTGTGTTCACTTAAACAAAAAAGGTCAAGGTCAGATGTGTCAATCTTTTACAGGCTGGTGTGTCAAAAAAACTGTGGCAGCTCAAGAAACTTCCCCAGATCAACCACGTTCATAGGAGATTGTTGAGCTTCTGTCTTTTCAGATTTAAAAAGACGCAAATCTTCTTGTATTTCCCTGTTAGTACACTATTTCCTTTAAAAAACCCTTCTAACAATATTCATAAATAACATTCTTAAAATCTGAAAGACATTATTTCATTTCAACCGTCATGGTACTTGGATACGAAGCACCATTCTGTCACAGTCACAGCAGAGTGTGTCTGTGAAGCATGTCTGTACTGACATTTCTTTTTTTTATTTTTAACAGATAGTCTATTAGTATATTTCACATTTCAGAAGCTGTATCAAGAAACTCTGAGGTGACGATCATCTATTTTGCTGTTGATACAAACCAGCTAGCTATTTTTTATTTTTTTTCCTTGATAATAAATCAAAATGTCAAAATGCTGTCTCCCATCCATGCCCTGTGTTTTCCAGGACAGTGGTGGGGGAGGGAATAATGACCTCCGAGTTACGAATTTTACATAATTCAGATACTCCTTTTTAGTACACAAGAGCACATTATAGAACATGTCTTCCTTAACTTCTTGCTCACCACACAAGAGTTACCACAAACGCTTGGATGATTCATTCTCTCACTGCTAATCTCTTCTCCCTCTGCAATACATATCCTCTGAGTAACAGTTTTGCCAACTGGGACCAAGTGAAGGAATAAGAGATGCTGTTCCCATTGTTCAGTAGGATGAGTCACTGCACAT